AAAGGGCAGTGCTCCGATATCACCCCCCACCCGCATCCTGTATGGGAGAAGGGTTTTCTCCACCCAAGACCCAAAACTTATTCCATCCACATGGAGCAAGAGCCCTTTATCCCAGCCGCTCGGGCCTCCACGCCTTGTCCACACACGTGGTGACCCCGTGCTGTTGCTTGCAGGCATCCCTGTCCTGCAGGCACCTGTCCCCATCCTGCGCCCCTGGCATCCCCATGCCCAGAGCCAGGGGAGCTGCCAGGCATCCCCGTCCATATCAAGGGTTATCCTCATTCATGCCTGCAACTTGGCACAGAGCAACCCCTCACCCCATCTGACCCCTACGGTGCCCAGCTCACCCGGTAGTCCTTGGCGGTCTCCCCCACGGGCCGCATCTTGTGCCCCGCGTGCCTCTCCGAGCTCTGGCACAGGCAGCAGGCCAACTCCTTGTCCTGCCAGCAGAAGAGCTTGGCTTCCTCGCGGTGCACGGGGCAGACGGCGGTGCCGCCCGCCGGCGCCCGGCTCTCGTCCTGGAGCACCATCTCCACGATGTTGTTGAGGTTGCGGTTGGGGCGCAGGTCGTCGGGCGAGGACAGCTCCTTGCACACGGGGCAGGGGTGGCGGTGCTGGTGCTGCCACGAGCGGCTCACGCAGGCCTTGCAGAAGTTGTGCCCGCAGCACAGCGTGACGGCTTCGCGGAAGGGGTCGTAGCAGATGGGGCACAGCAGCTCTTCCTTGAAGCGGGGCGAGGACGGGGCAGGGGCTGCGGGGGCGCCGCCGGAGGGGGCTTCTTTCTCCATGGCTCTGCCAGGGACAGGGCTGGCACCCCCTGCCTTGCTCCTCCTCCTGCTCTTCCCCTTGCTCCTGCTCCTGCTCCTGCTCCTCCTCTTCCTCCTGCTCTGCCCAGCCCTGCTCTGCTCCCAGCAGCCCGGGAGAGCCGGCCCATCTGACTCACGCTCCGCCCGGAGCCAATGGAGAGCGCAGCGCAGCGCAGCGCAGCCGGGCGGAGCGGCTGCGGGCCGGGCGTGCTCGGCGCTGCGCAGGGCGGAGGGGAGCCGGGCTTCCCTTGGAGGGGAGTGGGAGCCCCGGGGGGAGGGTCCCCCGGTGCATCCCCAGGGAAGGCAGGGACCACCGCCCCGAGTTGCTAAAGTGCGCTGCAGCGATGCCACGCAGAGGCTGTGCCCCAGCTGCAGCGCAGTCTGCCCGGGGGGGGATCCCCAGTGCAGCATCACCCCGAGTGACCCTCCACCGGGTTGGTGCCAGTCCCCAGCACCTCTGGGGCAGGCGGACACCTGCTGCAGAAAGGCAGCAGCCTGGGAGATCCCTGGCGCGGATGCAGGCACCGGACTGGAGAAGGGGATGGGAAGGCAGCAAGGATGGAGCTGTTCCTTGCATCCCTCAATGGCATTGCAGCAGCGGGACGGTGACAGGCCTTGTCCCCCTGTGGCACGGTTAGGTGCTCTTGGAGGTTGGGGGGGGACAGGCCCTCTGATTGCACAACAGGGTTGTGTTTAGTTGCAGAAGCAGGTTAGATAAGCATTTGCATGGGGTGGTTTGGGCAGGGCTGATCCTGCCTCAGGCAGGGGGTTGGACTAGGTGTAACCTCTGGAGCTCCCTGCCAGCCCCCACTTCCACCCCTCCCAGAGGCCACATCTGGAGTTCTGCATCCAGCTGTGGGCCCCCCACTGCAGAAAGGATGTGGGCACATTGGAGAGAGTCCAGTGAAGGGCAGTGAAAATGGTTGTGGGGCTGGGGGACAGGACTGGGGAGGAGAGGCTGAGGGAAATGGGCTGATTGAGTCTGCAGAAGAGAAGACCGAGGGGATTGAATAGCAGCCTTCACCTCCCTGCAGGGGGGCTGCAAAGAGGATGGAGCTGGGCTGGTCTCAGTGGGGGCAGATGGCAGGACAAGGAGCAATGGGCTCAAGCTGCAGCCAGGGAAGTTGAGGCTGGATATTAGGAAAAACTTTCTTGCTAGGAGGGTGGTGAAGTAGTGGACCAGGTTACCCAGAGAGGTGGTGGAGTCTCCATCCTTTGTGTTTTTTAAGCCCTGGCTAGAGAAAGCCTTGGCTGGGTTGATGTAGTAGCTGGGAGCAGGGTTTGGACTAGATGTGACCTCCTGAGGTCCTTTCCAACCCACCTTGTCTGTGCTTCTGACCAGGAGGATGAGGGGCATGGAGGGGCTTTCATATGAGCAGAGACTAAGGGGCCAGACCTGTTCAGTTGAGAAGAGAGATGCTTGAGGGGGGAGAAGAGAAGGGTCTCCTAAATACTCAATGGTGAAGAGAGAGTCAATAAGGATTTACTATTTACTGTCTCTTACAAGACAAGAATTAGGAGGTCACAAAATGAAGCAAGTAGACAGCAAGTTTAAAACTAACACAAACTTCTTTTCCACCCAGTGTGTCATTAAAGTGGGGGCTTGTGGCCACCAGATGTGGCAGGACATGAGAGTCCAGCCAGATCCAGCGAGGGACTGAACGCAGGCTTGGAGGAAAGGGGCATCGGTCACTATTGAGCAGGGTGCGAGGGGCACGGCCTCTACATCCGACCTGCCAGACCTGTACACACACACATAACCCGTTGAGTTGTGTGTGTGTATATATAAATGTGTGTACACATACAGGGAGAACCTGTTGAGTATGTGTGTGTATATATAAATGATATAAATGTGTGTACACATACAGGGAGAACCCGTTGAATGTGTGTGTATATATAAATGTGTGTACACATACAGGGAGAACCTGTTGAGTATGTGTGTGTATATATAAATGTGTGTGTACATACACACAACTTGTTGAACGTGTGTGTATATATGTGTGTGTACACACATACACCCTGTTGAGCATGTGTGTGTATACATGTGTGTGTGTGTGTGAGTAAATGTGTACACCCCCCTCCCTCCGCGTTTAGACTCCAGGAACCCTTCTGGATGTATCTTGTGTATCAAGTTTGCACACCTAACGGTGCTAATATACATACATGTGTGCACAGACAGAGACACAGGCACACTCAAATTTGTGCTTTACTGGGCTTGAGGTCCCCCTCCGTAACTTGTGTGAATTGAGTGGTGGGCAATTTGATGTTAGGGCTCTGTAGGGGTCTGTTTCTGGGAGGCAAGTACGTACCTACCTACATAGAGAAGACAAGCGGGGCTGGGCAAATGCATCCAGAAGTAGCTGCGTGCAATCTTGCAAGTGAGTCGTCTCATGAGGATATCAGAAGATTTGGTGACTATGATGGGATAATTCACAAGACAGTCCCTCTCTGGCCTCAGGATGGCTGTTCTCGGGCAGGTTTAAAAACCAGCTAGGACAGGAAACTGCAGGACAAAAAACCATGCACGGACGGGGATCTGTGAAGTGTGGTTTAAAGCAGGACGAGGCAGACAAGGTTCTTTGGGTAAAAGTGATCTCTTTTATTAGTCCAACTAAATAGTTGGAAAAATTGTTCTTTACAAATTTTGAAAAAGAGATCACATTTACCCAAAGAGCCTTCTCCACTTATGTCCTTAGACCAACACCCGCAAAATTGGGACTAGGGTTTCTTATCCCTGTGACTGTTACAGGGACAAGAGGGCCAGAGAAGAAAAATCAGCAAAGCCCCTTGAAAGCCAGGACTTTTGTAGCCCAAAAGGGAGAGGGGCATCACTTTTTTTAAAGGAATTTTCTCGTGTCTTGGGTCCAATTAGCCAAATCAGGAGTGGGCATCACCTGCAGCAGGAAAAAGCCCTGGCAGAGCAGCCAGGGATGGGGGTCCTGGCTGGCAGGAGACCCCAGCTGAGCAGAAGAGGGGAAGCTGCCTGCCGCAGGTGAGAGCAGAAACCTGGAGGCGAGACGATGGGCACTGGGCTCTGGACTCGTCCTTGCAGAGCCCAGCTTGCAAACAGCTGGCTGCAGCACACGGCAGTGAGCGGGGAGCAAGGGCCAGGTGTGTAGGGAGCGGGGGATCATTTATGCTAAGGGGCCTGGGTGCACCATCAGCACTGTTTATGTGAACCCAGCTGGGGTCTGCTTTTCTCTTTCTTATTTCTGCCCATATCATGAGTAGCAACCCATGGACCGGGGAGTGCGGAGGCTGCAGAGCAGTGGCCAACACCCTGCACATTTTTCCCCGCATGTTTTTTTGTCTCTTTCTTTGTTTGCCCTTCCCTATTTTCTTCTTGGTTTCGGAGGGGGAAGTAGACTGCGGCCTCTGACGAAAAGTCAGACAACGGGTTTGTCTGGGCTGCTCCTTCCCCAGCATGGCTTGTCTATGATTCAAGCCCACAGTCATGCCTGACCCGCTGCCTGGCCTGTGGAGAGTCCAGAGCCTGAGGCCCCAGTTGCATCTGCGGTGCACGCAGGTGCGCTAAGACACGGCTCCTACCCCCAAGAGGTGCCCATGCAGGCAGGCGAGGGAAGTCGCGTTCCCGCCGTGGACGAGAGGGGACGAAGTGTCTTGCCCAAGGTCGCTCAGGGAGTCGCTGGCGGAGCCGAGACCGCCTGGACCCCTAGACCCATGGGCTCCCGCCGCTCCAGCCTCCTGCAGACCCCAGCTCCCACTTCCATCAACCCTGGAGTGAGCTGGCTGCCATCTTGTCATCTCTCCCCAAGCTTTAGCGCCCACCGCTGCGGGGATAAGACTGTGGCTGTTAATGTGGCCCGGGGTTATTCCCTCCTGCCTTTGGCAGGAGCTTTTCCGAGCAGCCCATCCCGCCCCCAGCCTCCGCTCCTCGCCATGGCAACCCCTATCAAAATACCATGGCAACCCCTTCGGAAATAAAGAGCTGTACTGCAGGATTCAGCCGTCGTGGTCCAAACCTGCCGAGGCTGACGGCAGCGATACCCGGGCACCAGGGAGGGGGAGGCGATGGGGTACAGCCTCCATGGTGCAGGGACCCCTTCCTCCAGCGCCTTCTCCTTGCTGCCCCCTCCCTGCCCCGGGTGCGGGATCTCGCTGGATCGCCCCATCTCCTGGCCTGTTGCGCTGTCCTCTCGGTCCACCCATCGGTCCAGTCCCCATGTCCAATGGCAAACCCCAGGCCTTGAGAGCCTGATTCACTCCTGATAGGGCAGAGGGGATGGTCGGAGCACGTCCAGCGGTCAAGCCAGGCTGTATATAAGGGTGACTCTATGCTGACAGGTTGCATGCAAACTTACGTTGCAAGGGGACAGAGTGGGCTAAGTGACTTGACCAAGGTCAACACAGGAGATCAGAGCCACCAACCGAACCCAAGTGTCCCATGTGTTTGCTATCTATAGTCTAGCAGGTCTTCGGCTAAATTTAGAAACCAGCTGAAGGCTGCAGAAGTCGTTTGCAATGAGTTGAGCTAAGAGCTGATGAGACGGTGTATTCCCCATCCTGGGAGATTTGGTGATATATTGAAAACCCTTCTTGCACCGGGTTTGGGACCCAATGCCAACATGTCACATTTTCCCCATGAAATAAAACTTAGCGGAAGAAGAAATTGGATGCTGGAGACATCCTTTAAATGAATCCAAATGGCTTCATTTCCAGCCCCTTTCGTCTTGGGCACCGTGAATGACGGTACAGTGAATTCCCCGATGGAAATTCCCATGTGGAAACGCCCGTCCGTGGGAAGATCAGGACATTTCAGGCAGAGCCCGTCCACGTTGGGGCACTTTCCAAGCTCCTTCTCCCATCTCTTTGCATGACGAAATTGCATTGAAATCAATGGGATGCAGCCAAATAGATTCAAGGTGGGCCTGTTTTCCAGCCCATCCCTGTAGCGGCCATACAGATCGCGTCTGGTCGGGCACCAGGAGCACGAACTGGCGGCAACCTGCTTGGGTAGCAAGGTGCACCCAGGTTTGCCGTTGTGATGCATGCACTGAAGTAAATCAGGACCTTTCCTCTGCCTTGTTATCCTTGCTCTTCTTTCCCGATCGGCTGAGCATGCAGTCACTGCTGCCCGTTCGCTGGCAAGGGGTCATTAGCAGGGACTGAACATAGATACATATATATGTGTATATATATATGTGACCTCCGGCCCCTGTAGAGGAAGGGGCACCCGGGCCTGCAGGCCAGGGGGGAGATGGAGAGGCTCCACTTGCTCTGAGCTGCTTGGCCCCAATGCCAGGGCCCGTTCCCCCACCTCGGCGACGTCTCCTTATACTTTGTATGGCCACAGGATGGCAGCAACAACATGGATCAACCTGCATGGACCTGCTCAACCAACTACAGAAGCGCTCCAACTCTTCCTTTGCCAGGACGCCCCCGGGCTGCCTCCCGACACGTTCTTTCCCCCCAAAGACGTGCCTAGAAGCGACACCGCTCCTCTCCTCGCTCTCCATCCTCGTGGGGACCAGAGGCGCACATCTGGCTGGAGGCATCTCAGCATCTTTCCTCCCCGCACCCCAGTCTGCACCCCTGCATCCCCAACACCCCTCGGTCCACGCATCCCTTCGAAAGTAAGTTCAGGTCTGCACTGTGCGGAGGCCGCGAGCGGGCTGGGGAGGCCGCGCCGGGGTCTGGCCGTGCGCTCGAAGCCATTTTAGAGACGGCGTTGTGTAGCAAAGGGAGAAGTGCTATTAATAAACCCGGTCATATGTGCTGGTGGGTGGCGTGGGGGGAAGGAAGGTTGCACCGTGTTGTGGGTGCGGATGGAGCTGTAGTGCTGCGGGGCGGCCGAGGGCTGGCAAGGGGCTATCGAGCTGTCGGTCGCAGGTTTGAATGCAAGACGGGGCTACGCGGAGGTTGCCGGCTGCGGTGCCTTGTGGGAGGGTGCTTTGGGTAGGAGATATAACTCAGAAGGGACACCCAGCGGGGGCTCTGATCCCCTTCATCCACTCCCCAAGTGGGTAGCCATCCAGCGGCTATTATCCCCGTCCCAAAAGAAGTCCAGGTGGCAGGATGCGGATGGAGCTGCTCCGAGGGAGGTGATGGCACGGGGGCAGCTTGTGTCCCTGGGTCTGGCTGCTGGTCCGATCAGAGGGGCTCTGGGCAAGGGGGTCCAGCTGCTGGGAGCTTGGCAGCTCTTGCTTTTTCTCGCCATGTCCCACTGAAAACCCTCTCGCCCATTCTCCGCTGCCTGGCTAGCTGGAGCACTTGCCTGGCTAGGAGCGCATGATCCCCACAGCCCCGGATCAGTGCCCTTCTTGCAAACGGTCATCTCTGACCGACCGCTGAGTGAGTACCTGGGATCAGGGGGGGCAAAGGTGCCTACCCCAAAATGCCCAAGCCGTTTCCCCATGGTGGCTGGAATGAGCTGGGCACTGCCGTGATCTGCTGGCAACCGGTGTCTCTGATTCCCTCCCATGACAGGAGCTGCAAGGAGGCCCTGCAGCTCTCCATCGCACTGGTGGCACTGGAATAGCTGCTGTATTTGGGTTATGCCAGCCGTGAGGTCCTCCTGACCTAGGAGCAGTGCAAGGATCCGACTGTCTATCTTGCTGTTCTCTCACGGTAGGAGAGGCAAGGTGGCCTGGCGCAGCGTGGGCTGGCGAGGCGTGGGTCCCGCACTGGTTGAATGACTGTAAGCAAAGAGGAGCCGTCAAAATATCCATGCCAGGAGGGTCCTGGTCTGGTGCTCTTTGACTTGCTTATTGCTGACTTGGATGCCGAAGCAAAGAGCTTCCTAATCCAGTTAGCAGGGGAGGGTTGCAAACGCTTTGGAGGACAGGGCTAGCCCTTGAGATGGAAGAGCCAGGCTACAGGCCACAAAATGGAAATCAGCCACGAAGACTCCCCTGCACACAGGAAGAAGTGGGGGTAGCTCTGGCGAGAAGGATCGGAGGGTTTTGGTGGGTCACTGGCTCCATGGGAGTGAGTCAGCAGCATGACGCAGTCCCAAAAAAAGGACATGCTGTTTTGGGGCTGCGTTAGCAGACGCGGCGCAATAAAGACCTGGGAGGTGACAGTGCCTCAGCTAGGGCAGCGGTGGGGCCTGCCTTTGAGCCTGGACAGGATGCAGAGGCCAGTGATGAGGATGAGGGTGCCGGCATGCCGCCCTGCGAGGAAAGGCTGAGAGCGAGGTGGGTTTGGCCTGGAAAGGAGGTTCAGGGGGGTGCGAGAACGGCTTTCAAATACCTGAGAGGCTGCCGTACAGGAGTGGGAGAGCACCCAGGACATGGACTGGGGGTGTAAACCGGAGCACAGCAGAGTTCGATGAAGCCACAGGGGACTGCGAGAGCAGCAGGATGGTGGGACCAGCTGCCCGGGGGAGCGGTGGAGTCTCCATCCCTGGGGGCTCCCGGCAGAGGCTGGGCAATGTCTGGGTTGGGGTAGGGACAGGGCCGCTTGCAGCTGGGCAGTGGCTGGGACGAGATGAATCCTTGAGATCCTGGGGGTCTTAAGGGAGCAGTCAGGAGAGACTAGAGGGGTGGGAAGGGCTGGCGGCTTGTGTTCAGTGCTCTGCCACTGACTCATTCTATGACCCTGGGCACGTCACTTGTCTTCTCTCCTCGCCCCCGTCTCACTGCTGATTATCAGATGTGATGGTTTCAGGTGCCATGATGTTGCGTGGCTTGTGTGGGCGAGTCTAGCTTGCCGAACCTATTTGGGTGCATGGATTGGGGGTCGGTACAGTCCGTCCAGAAATGGCACCGCTGTCTTGGGGTTGCTACATCAGTGCCAACGTTGGTGTAGCAGAGGTACCTGCACTTGCTGACTGCTCCCCAACCCACTGGGATGCCTCGGGCCGGCCCCTTTTCCTGCTGCAGGATGCATTGCCTCAGTAGCAGCAATGGTAGGCAAGCAGGAGGCATCCGCTCCGCATGCTTTGCCACCTACGCAGCCAATGTACTCGCAGCCCCCAGCCCCCAGCTGCCAGCTGAGCTGTGGGCCTCGGGGCCGAGGTCTTGCTAGCTGTAGGGCCCAGATGTTGTGGGCAGGGGCCAGGCCCTACATAACCGTAGAGCCAGCCATGTGTCAACACGGTGCAGGGTGAGAGTGCTCCAGGCTGGAGGGGATGTGCAGCACGGAGCGCACAAGCATTAAGCGTGTGGCAGGGAGCTCAGGGGTGCTGGGATCGGTGCACGCTGGAGGCATGCGGGGAGGCTGGGAGCTTACCCGGATCTGGGCCCGAGAAGGGTGTGCCAGTTGCGAAGAGCAACGCCCCAATGTGCTGAGCACTGGGTAGGGGTAGGCTGTGCCCGAGCTGTGGAAAGCTCGCTGGCATGGGGGCTGGGCTGGTTGTTAAGGAACTGCACTGCAGCTCAGGGCTTTGTGGGTTTGATCCCTGTGCCTGTCACTTCCCCATCTGTGCCACAGGCCTGGTAGCATGTCCTTGGGCTGTGTGCCACACACCTCCCCCTTTGTTACCGTGCATTCATGCAGCGCCGAGCGCGCCGGGGCTCTGACTGCGCCTGGTGTAGGAAGGCGCAGCTGCTCTCCCAATAAACCCCCTCCCGGACCCCTCTGTGTACAATGAATGCTTGGGGCAATTAAGCTCCCGTGGCATCTTAGGAAAAACTTTCTCGTGAGGAGGACAGTCAAGCAACCCCCAGAGAGCTGCTGGGATCTCCATCCTTGCAGGGTTTTAGGACCTGGATAGACAAAGCCTTGCCTGGGATGCTCTAGCTCGGAGCAGGGGGTGCACTAGATGTGACCTCCGGATGTCCCTTCCAGCCTCATTTTCTACAATTTTATGATCCTTTTGCAAGGATGCTGCTCTTCATTCTGACGTCTGCACAGACGCCGGGCAATTAACGCCCCAAAGCCCCCTGCAGCGTTCCTCACCCATCCTCTTCCTCGGGTTGCCCGGAGGGATAGCTGGTCGCTGCTAAACAGATGATGCCTCTTGCAAGCGGAGGGACACTTGGCTGCACACCCACTGCCCAGCTCTCAGGCCGATCCAAGCATCAGAGCAGGCATTGGCAGCCCCCCAAGCCCATCCCCGCCTGCTGGCGCACCATGCAGCGGGGTACAGACTCTTCCCACCACCTTCCCTGCGGCTGCACGCGAGGGCCCCTCGCCTGCTGCGTGCTAGCCCCCTCCCTTTCAACAGCTGGCGTAATGCAGAGCAGCCTCCAGGCTGCCAACCAGGATTGGTGGGGGGATGGCTGTGACTCCCGGCTGCATCTGGGGCGAGGCTGCAGCACCTCCAGATGTGCAGAGGTGGGGGGGAGGGGAGGGTGTTCATTCCTGGGGGCACAGACATGTCCCTAGGAGGAAGCGGGCAGGGGCAGATTGGGGTTTGGGGGGGCAATTGCAATAGTGGGGCATAGCCGAGCCTCCGTGGCTTCCCTAGAGAGCAGGAGCCCAGCACCCCGGAGGAGGAGGAGGAGGAGGGAGGAAGGCACTGACTTTTGCAGGGGTCTTTCCCCACTCCCGGCACCCCACGCTGCCCGTGCCAGGTGAGTGCCTGCTGGAGCAGGGCTGTGCCGCCCGAGCGAGGAGGCCTCGGGGGAGCAGGGCGGCTCCTGCCCTGCGTGTACCTGCCAGGGCGGGCGGCTGCAGGAGGCGGGGTGGAGAGAAACCGTGGAGGAATGCGAGGCACCGAGCCACGAGACCAGGAAGTGAGCGTGTGCAAGGCGGGGAGCTCTCCTGGGCTCTCACACCCTTGGGCCTCCCGGGAAGGAAGGCTCTTGGCAGATCTCCCCGGCTTTGGGGAAGCACCTGGGCTATACCTGCTTCCACCGCGGGGCCACAAGGTAGGAGACGGAGCTCAGCTTGTTCCCCCCGCCGGTGCCTGCAGGATCGTGGCCAGGGTGGGGCCAGGGCTGAGTTGCCGCAGCGGGTGGCACCTCCGAGTTTGGCTGGGTGGGAGGCGAAGGTGAGCTTCTTCGGGGGGGTGATGGCATGCTCAAGTGGGTGCCGTGCCCCCAGATCTCCTCCTCCTTCTCCTCCTGCTGTCTCTGCCTGCATCCCGTGCTGGCTCGTGTGGTCCAGAGTGGCACAGCTCCGTGCCACGTGGCTGCCCATCTGTGGGGAGGAAATCCTGGCACGGATGTGGGGCTTTCCACTCTCGTTTCCTCTGCCCGGCTCCCCGGCAGCTTCCCATGGGCCCCGTTGCTTAGGGCCTCTCGTGTGAGCACACGGGAGACGCCCTCCTTGTGATTCACGCGTCCACCTGGCAGACGCAGCGTGCCACAAGCGTGGCGGGTCCTGCCAGGCTGTGCCTGCTGCGGGCAGGTGGCCGGAGAGGGGGTGCCCGGCTGCTTTTGCAGGGCTGGAGGGGGGTGAGTGGCATGCAGCCACAGGAGGGGGAAGCTGGGTATCCGACGCACCCCTTCTGGCTGGTGCAAGGAGGCTAGGTGCCATGGGGGAAGCCCAGGGGGTTGCCAGCGTGGGCTGACACTGCCTGGAGGGTGTGGGATGGGCTGGGCAAACCCCCTGCCTTCCTCTCGCATTGCTGCGGTCTCTGAAGGAAGCAGGTCCCAAGCCTGTGGCTGGACAGGAGTGCGAGCTGCCCCATTGCAGGATTTCCCCGCGGCTCTGGAGAGGGGAACTGAGACCCTCCAGCTCCGGC